CGGCTTTTTTCTTTTTGCTTATGTGGTGCTGAGGAATCGAACCCAGGGCCTCATGCATGCAAGGCAAGCGCTCTACCACTGAGCCACCTTCCCAGCCCAGAGCAATCTTTTTGTTTTGTTTTGCCAGCCCTAAGACTTGAAATCAGGGCCTGGGCACTGTCCTTGGGTTCTTTGTTCAAGGTTAGTGCTCTACCACTTGATCCATAGCTCCCCCTCTGGCTTCTTTGGTGAGAAACTAGAGATGAGAGTTGTGGACTTCCCTTTCCCAGGCTGGCTTTGAACACAATCTTCAGAGTTTAGCCTCTTGACTTCTTAAACTGGGGGATGGGGAATCTACTACTTGGAGTTGGAATGTAAAGCCTCATACCTCCTAGACAAGCACTCTACCACTTGAGCCACACACCCCTAGACACTTTGCTTTTATTGTAGTTTGTTTTTTTTTGTTGTTGTTGTTTTTTGTCGGTCGTGGGGCTTGAACTCTGGGCCTGGGCGCTGTCCCTCAGCTCTTCAGCTGAAGGCGAGCGCTCTACCACTTGAGCTACAGCGCCACTTCCGGTTTTCTGGTGGTTTATTGGAGATAGGAGTCTCATGAACTTTCCTGCCCAGGCTGGCTTTGAACCGCGATCCTCAGATCTCAGCCTCCTGAGTATCTAGGATTATAGGTGTGAGCCACCAGTGCCCGGCTGTAGTTTGTTTTTAAGATAGGGTCTCCAAGTCTAGCACCAGTGGCTCATGCCTGTAATCCTAGCTAACACAGAAGGATGAGATCTGAGGATTGAAAGCCAGCCTGGACAGACAAACCCTACTAGATTCTTATCTCCAATTAACGAGCAAAAAGCTGGGAGTGGAAGTGTGGCTTAAGGAGTAGAACACCAGCCTTGAGTGAAAAAGCCAAAGCAAGAGCACAAGGCCCTGAGTTCAATCCCAGCAGCACGCGCGCACACACACACACACACACACACACACACACACACACACACACACACAAGATAAGGGATCCAGCTTTAGTCTGGTCATCCTTGAATTATGATCCTCCTACCTCTGCCTCCTGAGTAGCTGGGATTACAAGTGTGAGCCACCATGCCAGTTCAGAGGCAAACAACATCGCCATCTTATAAGAACTGTCAGGACTGAGGCATGGCTCAAGGAGTAGAGCATCTGCCTCACGGTGTAGATCTGAGTTCAAGCCTCAGAACTGCAGATGAGGAGATGAGGAATCCAGAACATGGAGGCTGAGAACTCACCTTGAGTCCCTGTCACCAGCCCTGAGCCCTGGTGGTGTAGCTCTCGAGGCCCCGCCCTTGGTGCCCACCCCAGATGCTGAAATGAAAAGCCGCCTGGGGTGGGTCTGGGAAAGGCCAGGGAACCTTCCCAGCAGCGCTGAGCACATTTTGAAGAGTTAACCCTGCGGACGCCTTGGGCTGAGCTTTGTTATGAAGCCAAGGCTGGCCGGGCCTCCACTGTGCCCCGCAGAGGCGTTTCCAGGCTGGGCGGTGACTGGCTGGCAGGTGATTGGCCAGCTTGCTTCCTGACCGCCAGGCTCGCTGCCCGCATATGCAGCTGGCTGGATGGCTGCTGCCTGGCTCCTAACCACACATTCCTGCCCCATCTCTCTTCCCCCAGGCCCCCCATACGACGTGCGGGTGTCCGAGGTGCGGGCCACTTCCCTGGTGCTGCAGTGGGAGCCCCCGCTGTACACGGGCGCTGGACCAGTCACGGGCTACCGCATCAGTGTTCAGGAGGAAGGCTCTGAGGAATGGAAGCCCGTGACCCCAGATCCCATCTCTGACACCCACCTGAGGGTGAGTTCCCGCCCTTTCACCACCTTACCAGCCCAGAGCCTTCCCTGCCACTGAACACCCAAGCTAGAGCAACCCTCAGAGAGCACTTCCCTAACCTAATGGCAACAGAGGACCAGAAAGGGAGAGTGGTCTACCCAGGGTCACACAGTAAGTGGTTAGTAGGCCTGGCTGGCCTGGTGGCCTTACACTAGGTGCCCCCCCCTAAACAACGAGGTGTTTATCACACCCAGTTTTATTAGCGTTTGAATACACATATCCCTTGACCCAGAAATTCTGCTTCTAATATGAATGAAGTGTAGGGAAGCAATAAGCACATGTGTAAAGACCTAGGGCAGTGATACCCACTGTAGTACGTGGTTTATGAACTGCAGGGGTGGCTGCAGTTTACACATTGACCAGTAGGGGGAGCTGCCGGGATAAATCACAATGCATCCTGTGCCAGGAGACACATAGTCAGACCGTGTCATGCATGGGAATATTATCAAGAATATACTAGGAAGCCAGGCGCCAGTGGCTCACACGTGTGTACTCCTACCTACTTGGGAGGCTGAGCTCTGGGGACCATGATTCAAAACCATTCCAGGCAGACAAATCTGTGAGCCTCTTATCTCCAGTGAAGCACCAAAAAGCCGGAAGTAGGGGTATGACTCAAGTAGTAAAGCACCAATCTTGAATGAGAAAGCTAAATAAGAGCACAAGGCCCTGAGTTTCATCCCTGACACTGGCACAGAAAGGAGGACATGGAGGAAGAGGAGGAAGTAGAGAAGGAAGTAGAGGAGGAAGAGGTGGAGGAGGAGGAAGAGTTGTTAGGGAAGGTCTAAGGGAAAAGTCAAAGATGGCTGCAGGTCTGGTTTCCAGCTCTGGACAGAAGATCATAACCATAGAGGGCAGGGACAGGAGAGGATTCCCTTGCTGAATGTAGGAGGATGAGTTAAACTTCAAGCAGGTTCCAGGTGCCAGTGTCCAGGAGGTCAAGAAGGATGGCAGGCCCATGGAGCCCCTGGAATTCAGGATGTGCACTTTGCCTGCCTCCTCCATCCCTCCCCCCCCTCCCCCCAGCCATGGCAGCTGAGCCTCTTCAGGCCCCCTGTGCTCTGGCCAGGGTTCCAGGAGGAAGCATCTTGGTTGATCTCAGGTTTTGCTCTTGCTCTCCCCCAGGTGTCTAACCTGCAGCCTGGAAAGACGTACGTGTTCCAGGTCCAGGCCATGAATTCAGCTGGGCTGGGACAACCGTCCATGCCCACTGACCCTGTGTTCCTGGAGGATAAGCCAGGTAGGGCGGCCTGGCAGAGAGTGCCAGCATCCACCGCTGCACTGTGTTCTTGAGGATGGGCAAAGCTCTTGGCAAGATGGGGAGGAGACATGGGTGCCAGTGGCTTACACCTGTAATCCTAGCTACTCAGGAGGCTGAGATCTGAGGATCATGGGGCAGGAAAGTCTGTGAGACTCTTATCTCCAATAAGCCACCAGAAAACCAGAAGTGGAGAGTGGCCCAGTGGTAGAGCACTTGAGTCGTGCAAAAAAGAGCTCAGGGACAGCACCCAGACCCTGAGTTCAAGCCCCACAACTGACCAAAGCAAACAAAAACCATGGTACTCCAGTGGACAGGGTCATTCTAACCAGGGCAGTCAGGGAGGGACTCTGGAAGGAGGTGACATGTGAGCAGAGGAGGGGCCAGCCCCTACAGGGCCTTAGGAGCCACTGCGTGACCAGCCCACCACGAGTGTTGTGATCTTCAGGAGCAGTGGCAGACACTGGAGGGTTATTAATTACAGATCTCTGAATCTCCTCCTCAGATGCCCAGGAGATCGAGGTGGGCGTGGATGAGGAGGGCCGCATCTACTTGGCCTTTGAAGCCCCTGAAGCCCCTGACTCCTCGGAGTTCCTGTGGGCCAAAGATTACCAGGGCCCTCCCGCCCCCCAGAGGGTGGAAATCGAGGACGAAGTGAGCAAGTAAGTGAAGAGGGGAGGAGGGGCGATGGCCCAGAGCCTGGCAGAGCTGGCGGCGGGGGGGGGGGGTGCCCACATGGCCGGGCTCACAGACTGGAGGAGGCAAGGGAGGGAAGGGTGTGTTTCAGGGCCTAAAATAGTGGTGTGTGTGTGTGTGTGTGTGTGTGTGTGTGTGTGTTTTCCTGGGGCCTGAACTCTGGGTCTGGGCACTGTCCCTGAGCTCTTCAGCTCAAGGCTAGAGCTCCACCACTTGAACCACAGAAACACTTCCGGCTTTTCCTGCTTATGTGGTGCTGAGGAATCAAACCCAGGGCCTCATGCATGGGAGGCAAGCGCTCTACCACTGAGCCACCTTCCCAACCCCTGTCCCTTAGCTTTTTCACTCAAAGATGGTGCTCTATGTCTTGTGCCACAGCTCCACTTCTGGCTTTTGCTGGTTAATGGGAGATCAGAGTCTCACAGACTTTCTTGCCTGGGCTGGCTTTAAACTGCAGTCCTCAGGTCTCAGCCTCCTGAGTAGCTAGGACGACAGGCCTGAGCTATGGTTCTCTGCCGGTAGAGTCTCCCAGGGCGGCAGCTCCAGCTCCTGCTAGACGGAGCTGAAGCAGGGCAGTATTTGGCAGGGGCCTCCAGGGCCTCTCATTTCATCCACAAGGAAACCAAATCCAGAAAGCACATTAGTGACACCCAGGCTAGAGCCCTGACCAGGAGGAAGACAGCGCAGCACGGCAGCGGGCAGAGCCAGGCAATGGGCCTTTCGATGGTGCCAGGCCAAAGGAGAGTCCAAGGGGGTTCTCCAGACCCCACTTGGCTGGGGTCTGAAAAGGGGGTACAGACCGCCTGAGCCAAGGGAATTCCCCAGCTCCCAGGCCTGCATCGCCTAAGGCTCACGCGCGTGTGCACACACACACACACACACACGCACACACACACACACGCAGCATTGCTCTCCTCTTCTGCCAGGTCCAAGGTCATCCTGAAGGAGCCTGACCTTCAGGATCTGGGCATCTACTCAGTGGTAGTCACGGATGCGGATGAAGACACGTCAGCAAGCCACATGCTGACAGAGGAAGGTATGGTCCTTGTTCCCCACCACTCCCCAGGGAGACGCCCCAAGCCACAGTCCCAACACAGATGCCCCTAGAAGGCCGGCAAGGGACCACAAAGATATACACCCGCCCTTGCATGCCACCCCCTTCCTCTCACTTGACCAGTCAATAAATACCTCCTGGGCACCTGCTCTGGCCATGCACGGCTCCTTGCACTGTCCCAGGCCCTGGGAGCCACAGTGACGAATTCCCTAGGCAAATTCGCTGCACAGCAGAATCTGCATTCTTCTTGTCTCTCTTTTGTGTTTCCACTTTGGGCAAAAGGCAAAGGTTCCAGAATCCATGTTATTTCCTTCTATAACCTAAGAAGAAGAGCACAAGGATGGTCATGAGTCACAGAGGCCAGTGGCTTTGAGGCTGGGGGGTGAGGATAGGAGGGGTGAGGATAGGAGGGGTGAGGGTAGGAGGGGTGAGGATAGGAGGGGGTGAGGGCGGAGGCTACAGGACGTCGACATTTGTGGACTTGACTGGTGGTAGCTAAGGAGATTTCCCCCCCCAGTCTCCATAGCAACCAGGGCAGCCCATGCCCACCGCCTCCCCTGCTCAGCGCCCTCCAGTGCCTTTAATTCTGCCAAGAAGCAAATGCCAGAGAAGCCTAGGCTCCAACGCCAGTTCCTCAGGGCTGGGAAGCTCACAGGCCCTCTCAGACCTCAGTTTCCTCCTCTGTGCAGGGTTGTTTTGCCTGTTTTTTGGTGCCAGTACTGGGGCTTGAACTCAGGGCCTGGGTGCCATCTCTTAGCTTTTTTTTTTTTTTTTTTTTGCTCAAAGCTAGTCCTCCACTACTTGAGCCACAGCTCCACAAAGGCTTTCTGGTGGTTCATTGGAGACAAGAGTCTCATGGACTTTCCTGCCCGGGCTAGCTTCGAACCACAGTCCTCAGATCTCAGCCTCCTGAGTAGCTAGGATTACAGGGGTGAGCCATCAGCACCCCAGCTTCCCCTTCTGTACAGGGGGATTCGAAGCTCCATCCTCCCTGTCTGAAACAATATTGTTGTCCGATACAATTCAGTGATCCTGTGCACACTGAAGTTACCCACAAACCTGGCGGTGTTTGGGGGACCTTTGTGGGGGCCGAGGCGGCAGGGAGGACTTGCCATGAACCCATTCTGGGGTTCTAAAGCCACAGGAGGCCTGGGCTCTGACCCTGCAGTACACATTTACTGAGCACTTACTGAGTACTAGGGCTTCGTGTAGGTCCAACCAGCGCTCAGCTCAGCAGGAGAGACAAATTTCAGGCACAGAGGCAGCCAGCTGTGGAGGCTGTGCAGGGCTGGCCAGGCTGAAGGGCTGGGCTCAGGAGGGCAGGTGGGGCGGCACGGAGCCTAGCACGGGTGCAGGCTCCCCGGGGAGCTGGGAGAAGCCAGCACTACCAGCATGGTCTCCTTAGTGCCCAGCTCAAAGCCCTCTGTGCTCAGCCCCTGTGCAGCATGCGACCCCAGACTGCGGGGGGAAGGGGAATGGAGGATCTCTTGGGACTGCACATTATAGGACCCTGAGATGGCTCCCGTGGATCCCTGGTGTGTCATTGTCTCTGTTTCCTGCCCCTTCCTGCCTAGAGCTGAACAAGCTGAAGAAGCTGAGCCACGAGATCAGAAACCCAGGTGAGCAGCCAAGTGGCAGCTCCATGACCTGAGCAGAGCTGACTCACGTGGAGAGCCAGGAAACACCCGGGGGGCACAAGCAGAGGCAGCAGAGGCCAGGGGGGTGCGAGGAAAGGAAGCACAAGGTCCCTCATCTCCATCACCATCACCACCATCATCACCATCATCACCATCATCACCATTATCACCACCATTACCAGCACCTCCAGCAGCATCTAGATCTTAGCTCATCCAAACCTCTGCTTCCCTCCTTTGGCTCTGGGTGATGGAGCCCTGGAGCCAGTGTCACAAACATGACCAAGAGCTTTTCAACCTCCCAGTGCCCAGGCCACGCCCACCACAAATCAGAGTCACTGGAGGCGGGGTCGGACACCAGTGTTTCCCCACATCCCCCAGGATGCAGTGCCCAGCAGGGCTGGGGACCAAAGGCCCACAGCCTCTGAAGAGGAAATGCTTTTCTGAGCTGAAATAGAACCGAAGTGAGCACACAGAAAGCGTTCCTCACACCTCCAGCCCGGCCCGGCTTCCTCCAAGCTTGTCACACTTCCAAGGCCAGCCCGGGGCCCAAGGGGGCCTAGCCAGAAGCAGAGAAGGGTGAGGGCGCCCCACTCATTCCCTCCCGTCCTGTGCCTCCCAGTGATCAAACTCATCTCTGGCTGGAACGTGGATGTCCTGGAGCAAGGAGAGGTGCGGCTCTGGCTGGAAGTGGAAGCGCTGACCCCGGCGGCTGAGCTGCACCTCATCTTCAACGAGAAGGAGATCTTCAGCTCCCCGGTAAGTGGCGTGCGCTGGCTTTGATTTCCGGGTCCCTGGTTGTCTTGGGAATGTTACTTCAGGAATGGCTATGTACTCTGCTGTCCCCACAGCGTGGCTGGGCCGTGGACACTGGGCTTGTACTGCAAGGCGGGTAGGAGGCTGGGATCTCGGATGCTACCCAATGCAGGGAGATTTCTACCACCAAAGGATATTCCATGCTTCAAGAATCTTCCTAATTAATGTCCCATCAGACATCCTCATGATGGGAAAACTGCATTCACACTCACAGTTATCTAAGCCTACGTTAGCCCTGGTGACTCACGCCTGTCATCCTAGCTGCTCAGGAGGCTGAGAGCTGAGGTGGAGGTCGGGTTCAGTGCCGGTCCAGACAGGAGAGCCTGTGAGACTCTTATCTCCAATTTACCAGCAAGCCAGGACGTAGGGGTGTGGCTCAAGGGATAGAGCACTAGTTTTGAGTATAAAAGCTAAGGAACAGTGCCCAGGCCCTGAGTTTACGCCCCATTACCAACACAAACACATACACCACACACACACACACACACACACACACCAAGCCCCCCCACTTCAGGATCCTCTGGATGGGAACATTACAAAGGACCCTGGGGCTTTTCTCCCCAGAACCGCAAGATCAATTTTGACCGTGAGAAGGGGCTGGTGGAGATTATCATCCAGCACTTGTCTGAGGAGGACAAAGGATCATACACAGCACAGCTCCAAGATGGAAAAGCCAAAAACCAGATCACCCTGGCCCTGGTGGATGACGGTCAGCCTCACCTGAATCTGTCCCCCTCCCCTCCCCTTCTCGAGCGAGCAAGAGCCCTCACCCTCCAGCTCTGGGGGGCCCGCTGAGCATGACCCTCCTTCTGTTCACCCCTCTGGGGTCCTGCCTTTATACCTCTCCCACCCTGTGTGTTCACAGATTTTGACAAACTCCTGAGGAAGGCAGATGCCAAGAGAAGAGACTGGAAGAGAAAGCAAGGTAAGAGCTGCTGGTGTGGAGCCCACAAGCTTAGGCCTTGGAGAGTCTCCCCTGCAAGTCCACACCCAGCTCTTCCCTTCCTCCATCCCTGGCCTCAGATATGTCTGAGGGACCACCAGTCATTAGCAGCCTCCTCCTGGGTTGGCGTCCCCAGGCTGACCACTAGGGGGCGCCCTGACTAAACCCGGATGCCTGGGCTGTTTGTGCACCTGCAGGCCCCTATTTCCAGGAGCTGTTGCAGTGGCAGATCACAGAGGACTGCCAAGTGCTGCTGACCTGCAAGGTACGACTTACCCACCTCTGTCCCTAGGGCCCCGGGCATCTGTATGCTGAGGAGCCCTGCCACACTCTGCTCCATGCAGACTAGTAACTTTTTTTTTTTTTTTTTGCCTTCCTGGGGCTTGAACTCAGGGCCTGAACACTGTCCCTGAGCTTCTTTTGCTCAAGGCTAGCACTCTACCACTTGAGCCGCAGCACCACTTCTGGCTTTTTCTGTTGATGTGGTACTGAGGAATGGAACCCGGGGCTTCATGCATGCTGGGCAAGCACTCTACCACTGAGCCACCTTCCCAGGCCCCAGTAACATTTTATGTCATCTGCCTCATCATGATCTGGGGTACAGGTGTTGTTTGCATGTGAAAAAGTGTATAAAGAAGCTAGCTGCCGGTGGCTCATGCCTACAATCCTAGCTACTCAAGAGGCTGAGATCTGGGGATCATGGTTCGAAGTCAGCCAGGGCAGGAAAGTCTGTGAGACTCTTATCTCCACTAAACTACCAAAAAAAAAGTGGTAAAGCACTAACCATGAGCAAAAGAAGCTCAAGAACAGTGCCCAGGCCCTGAATTCAAGCCCCAGGACCAGTATTTTAAAAAAAATGTCTACACATAAAGAAACAGCTCAAGACAATAAGGTTAAAGTTAGAAGCCAGGTTTTAACCAAGCTGGCCTGACTCCAAAGTCTTAAATGCTTTGCAGCCTTTTTTTTTTTTTTTTGCCAGTCCTCAGGGCCTGGGCACTGTCCCTGAGTTTCTTTTGCTTATGGCTAGCACTCTACCACTTGAACCACAGTGCCACGTCTGGCTTTTTCTGTGTATGTGGTACTAAGGAATCAAACCCAGGGCTTCATGCATGCAAGGCAAGCACTCTACCACTGAGCCACCTTCCCAGCCCCTGTAGCCTTTTTTGATACCTGGGGAAGAACAGCATGGGCAGGGCTTTCCCAGAAACACATTCATTCAGTAAATCAAAGCACCTACCATGTGCCAGGTCTTCTGCAAAGCACCCGTCCTTCGAGAATGGAGACGAGGTCTCCTCAGCCTGTGGTCAAGGCAGAATGGTTAGAAAGCAGCCTGCCTTGTTCTTGGTTAGACATATGCAGGAAACTGATTCATCACCTTGGGGTGGGGGTGGGGTGGCGTCCTGCAGAGAGCTTCTGGGAAGACTTTCTTTTTTTTTTTTGCCAGTGCTGGGCTTGAACTCATGGCCTGGGTGCTGTCCCTGAGCTTCTTTTGCTCAAGGCTAGCACTCTACCACTTGAGTCACTGCACCACTTCTGGCCTTTTCTGTGTATGTGGTACTGAGGAATTGAACCTAGGGCTTCATGCATGCTAGGCAAGCACTCTACCACTAAGCCACATCCCCAGCCCCTGGGAAGACTTTCTGGAGGAGGTAACATCGCAGTCCCTAAGAAGCTTAGGCATTTGCAAGGAAAATAGGGAAGGGACTGAGAGGGAAAGGAAAGGCCATTGGCCAAAAGTTCAGAATCTGGAGGCCAGCAGAGACCTAGGGTGTGAGGAAGGGACCCACTGGCCTTGGCTCTGGTACGTGAGTGTCTGTGCATGCTTTGTATGTGAGGGAGTCTTGCTCGTACAAAATCACCTTCTAGGAGCTGAGTTTTTACTTAAAAAGAGAAAGCCACCAGGGGCCTGTCATCCTAGCTACTCAGGCAGCTGAGATCTGAGGATCATGGTTCAAAGCCAGCCGGGGCAGGAAAGTCCATGCGACTCTTATCCCCTTAACCACCAGAGAAACGGAAGTGGTGCTGTGGCTCCAGTGGTAGAGCACTTGCCTTGAGCTGAAGAGCTCAGGGACAGCGCCCAGGCCCAGAGTTCAAGCCCCACCACCGACAAAAAAAATAGAGAGAGAGAAAGCCCGCTGGGGTCCCCTCACACCCCACCTTCCTCAGGTGACCAACACCAAGAAGGAGACTCGCTTCCAGTGGCTCTTCCAGAAGAAAGAGGCTCCAGACGGCCAATACGACCCGCAGGCCGGGACGGGACTTCTCCGAATTGAGCAGGTGAGTGTCGCTGAGGCTCCGGGGTGCCAGGATGAGCACCGGGCAGAGTCGGCAGCTCTGCGGCAAGGGGAGGCAAGTGAGCATCACCCAGGGCTGGCGTTTACGGGGCACCAAAAACTCCATCGAGGTAACTAAAGTTGATGGTGCAGTATTCTGTGTGTGTGTGCGTGCACACACAGGCATATGACAGTGTTGGGACTTGAACTCAAGGCCTGGGAGCCATTCCTTAGCTTGTTTTTGCTAAGGTTGGTGTCCTAACAGCTCCACTTACCATTTTTTGGTGACAGAGATAAGAATCTCGGATTTTTCAGCCCAAACTGACTTCAAATCATGATCCTCAGATCTCAGCCTCCTGAGTAGTTAGGATTACGCGTGAGCCACCAGCACCCAGCAGTGCAATGTTTTTAAAAATTAAAATACCAAAACCAAATTGTCATCAGTAACAACAGAACCAGGATTACTGATTTTTTTTCCTTTTGCTTGGGTGCCAGGCCACCGCCCCTGTTGTGCAACATGGGGCTGGTCACTGTCCCACTCTGAGCTCAGCTTTCAACTGCTTCCTCAATGATTCTCCCTACCCACAGTCTAAGGCTGAGGATGGAAAAGATGTCTCCAAGTGAGGCAGCCAAGAGGAGTGTAAACTGAGGCCCAAGGAGAGAAGGGTCTTGTCTGTGTCCACACAGAGTTGGGGGCAAGCCTAGAAACCCCGCTGCCTGACTGCTGCCCAGCCATCCTGGAACCCGTGCAGACACTGCCATCTCCCCAACTTCTTTCCAGATGTCCAGGGAGCACCAGGGAACTTACAGGGCAGTGGTTTCGGATGATCGAGGGGAGGATGACACCGTATTGGACCTCACTGGCGAAGGTGGGAGCCGGCCGTGCCCGCGAGGGTCCCGGCCAGCTGTGCGGGACCACAGTGCAGCTGGACACTGTGAGATATGACCTGTGACCTAAGATCCCTGGGATCCCCGTGTCACCCGAGGGAACGAGTCACAGAGAGGGGCCGTGACCGCCCTGGTTTGCACAGCAAATCAGTCACAGGGGCCTGGTATGTGTGATGCCACAGCAAGCCCAGCCTTGGAGCCCAGGAACCAGAACACTACTGCCCCTAAAGAAGGCCCAGGCTGCGCATGAAGCTGGCTGGCTTGGCCTACAAGGGTATTGTCACGTTAGGTGTGGTGTGGTGGTTCAATCCTATAATCCTAGCTACTTGGGAGGCAGAGATCGGGGCTGGGGGGGGGGGGGGAGGGCGGGGTGCAGTTTGCAGCTAGCCCAAGCAGAAAATGTCTGGAGAATCCATCTGAACCAATGGCTGGGTGCCTGTTGCCCCAGTCATGAGGAAAGCACAGAGGCTGGGCACCGTCATCTCCTAAGAACAAACAGGGCTCACAGCCCAGGCTAGCTCAGGGCAGTCATGTGACAAAACCACACTGGAGGCACAGCTCCATTGCTAGAGGGGAGGGTAGAGTGTCTCCCTAGCAACACCAGGCCCTGAGTTTGAACCCCAGTACTACAGGAAGAAAGAGAAGAGAGAGTGAAGAAAGAAAGAAAGAAAGAAAGAAAGAAAGAAAGAAAGAAAGAAAGAAAGAGGAAGGAAGGAAGGAAGGGAGAGAGAGAGAGAGAAGGAGAGAGGGAGGGAAGGAAGGAAGGAAGGAAGGAAGGGAGAGAGAGAGAGAGAAGGAGAGAGGGAGGGAGGGAGGGAGGGAGGGAAGGAGGGAGGGAAAGACAAGAAAGTTGTTAGGTGGTTCTATCTGTCCTGGGCTCATGGAGGCCCCTGGCCCCCCTCTATCCACATCACCTCAGAGCCCCCCCCCCACTCCCAGACTGTCCAACAGAGTTTCCCGTTCCTGAGAGCAGCTCTGTGCACCACTGTGCTTTTCCAAGGCTGCCCCCACCCCCACGACAAAATCTTAGGGGCTCCCCGCCCAGCTGACCATGCTTTGTCTCCCCCCAGCCCTGGATGCCGTCTTCACCGAGCTGGGCAGAATCAGTGGTGAGTGAGCCAGCCTGCAGCTTTGCCCGGCCCTGCCCCTACCCCCCCATGCCAAAGAGCCTGGGGGGTTGGGGGCCTCCCACCAGCCCCGTCTGGAGTTAGTGTCCAACCTCCAAGCTGGGCGAGAAGCCCCTGCCTCCCCACGGAGCCCTGACCCCACCACCATCACCCCCAGAGCAGTAGAAAGAAGGCTGGCCCCAATGTGCGCCCCCTTCTTCTGTGCCTCCCCCAGCCCTCTCTGCAACTCCACTGAAAATCCAGGGCACTGAGGAGGGCATCCGGCTCTTCAGCAAGGTCAAGTACTACAACGTGGACTACATGAAGACCACCTGGTTCCACAAGTAGGTCGGCCTGGCCCCAGGGCCTGGCCAGTTGGAGCCCAGAATCTGCCTCTTGGAGGCCTCCCTCCCCCCGCCAACCCCTCCCACCAGGCTCAGTTGGCACTGATGAGGGCGGGACTCTGGTCCTGCTGTCCTCACGTGCGGTAGGGATAGGAATCAGCAGTCCCTGAAAGGCTTTCCTCAGGGAAGATGGAGATTCTGGTGGTAGGGCCATTCTTCTAGAATGGTCCTGATCCCAAGCAACAGCATCTGGGAGCTGGTGGATTGAGGGATGCAAGAACAAGGAAGAACCAATCAGGTGATGCTGCCATCGGGGGCCTCTGCAGCCTTTGCAAACCTGTGCAGCCAGGCGTCAGGGAAAGGAACAGACAGGCGTGTGGAGATGGTGACACAATTTCAGGGCTTGATAGCAAGAGGGAGAAGGTTTCCACAGAGCTAAGTCAACCCCAGACAGTGTAAGAGCAGAACTGCACCCCGTGTTTCTCATCACGTGCATGCCTCAGCCTCAGGGAGCAGACATTACTGCACACGTTCTCTAGAGAGTGCCAGGCTGACTTAGTCACAAATGAATGAGGGCCAAGGTGCAGTGGAATTTCAGGACAGTGGAGCTCTTTCGCTTTCAAAGGTTTCCAAACCCTGTGGCAAACAGGCTCAGGACACTGGGGACACAGGCTGGGAGACTTCAGGAATGAAATTGAAGTAAAGAAGGGAGAGAGTGTACATTGCTTTGGTTTCTAAAGGAATAAAAACCAACCTGGGAAGGTTTAAGATGAGAGTAAAGAGGCGAGAAAATAGTTCCTGAGGTGTCATTCTCAGCATCAGCCAGCTTGCACATAGATGATTTCCCAGAGATTTGTTGAATGAAGGAATGAGAAGTGGAATGGGGAATGAATGATTGGCTCATGAATGAAGGGTAAATGAATGAGTGATTGAATGATGAGTGACTGATAGATGAATAATTGGCTAATGGATGAAAGAATGATTGCTTGATGGTGAATGGTTGGCTGATGAATGATTGAGTGACGGTACATGGGGGAGAATGAACCAATGGGTTGATTGATAGATGACTGGTTGGATGAATGGATGGTGGGATTATGAATGGCGAAGCAGGTAGATCTGAGTGAATATCTAGTGAATGGTCTCCGCCTTTATCCCAAGGCCTTGGGGCCAGCCCCTGGAGTTGGGGCCCAGGCAGGGCAGGCTGGGCCCGCAGCCAGCCACCCTAGGCCCCACTCTGCCCTCACACTTAGGGAGAAGCGCCTGGAGAGTGGCGATCGGGTTAGGGCGGGCACCACCCTGGATGAGATCTGGCTCCACATCCTGGACCCCAAGGACTCCGACAAGGGCAAATACACCCTAGAAATCACTGCTGGGAAGGAAGCCCGGCAGCTCTCGGTGGATCTTTCAGGGCAAGGTGAGCTGACAGCTAGTCTATTGGCCCAGAAATCTGTTTAGAAAACTCCATAGGGATAGGCCTTGGTGGCTCATACCTGTCATCCTAGCTACTCAGGAAACTGAGATGAGGAGGATCGCTGTTCAGGGTCAGTCTGAGCAAAAAGTTCATGAGACCTTATCTCAGCCAGTACAAAGCCCACATCTGTCCTCCCAGCTGTGCGGGGGGAGGGAATTGGGAGGATCGTGGGTCCAGCAAACACATTCACAAGACGTCATCTCTGTAGAAGAAACTGAGTCTGACCACAGTGTATCCAATCCACTGGGGGAGGCGTCAAATAGAAGAATCATGGCCCAGGCATGAACTGAGGGGAAAAAAAGAAAAAGATAAAGAAAAAGCAGACCCCTATCTCAAAAATAACCAATGCACACCAGGCGCTGGTGGCTCACGCCTGTACTCCTAGCTACTCAGGAGGCTGAGATCTGAGGATCGCATTTCAAAGCCAGCCTGGGCAGGAAAGTCCATGACTCTCTCATCTCCTATAAACCACCAGAAAACCGGAAGTGGTGCTGTGGCTCAAGTGGTAGAATGCTAGCCTTGAACTGAGGGACAGCACCCAGGCCCAGAGTTCTAGCCCCATGACTGACAATAATCATAATCACCAATGCAACATTGAGCTGAAGTTGTGGCTTAGCAGCAGAACACCTGCCTAGCAACTGCAAAGCCCTGAGTTCAAATCCCAGTACAACATCACCACCACCACCATATGACACTGGATGTAGTAGCACACACATGTAATCCCAGCATTCAGGAGGAAAAAGGTCAACAAATTTGAAGACAGCCTAGTAGTGAGACCCTGTCTCAAAAAAAAAAAAATTCTAAAAAGAAAGAAAATCACATTGTCTTTATAAAGACTCCCCCAAATCCTGGCACTGCCGCAAGGCATTACAGCAATGGGAAGGAGAATGGAGGAGAGTGGGCGCCAAGCCCTGTCCCTGGGGGTTACCCTGCAGAGGCCCTGATGCACACGTTCCCTTCTGTCCTTCTTGTAGCTTTTGATGACGCCCTGGCTGAACACCAGAGACTGAAGTAAGCTCCCCCCCCCACCTTTCTGAGTGTGAATTGTGGGTTCCCCCGGAGTGTGGTGTGAACTGTGCTCTGGCCCCTCCTAGGAGCCCCCATCAAGCTCCACTTTCCCTCCCCCTCCTCCCCTCTCCCACAGGGAGCCCCACAATGGAACCCCTCAATCTTGTTCCTGTTTCTGTTTTCCAGAGCCTTGGCCATCATCGAGAAGAGTAAGTCCCTGACCTTTCTAGTGCTTTTGCACACGCTTTCCCGGAACTCTGGAAGGCTCTGGAGAGGCCTGAGCATTAGCCCTGTGAAGACAACAGAGGCACAAGGAGCCGAAGGAGTCCTGAGGCTGTGGGCTGGACGTGCCCCGTCCGGGTGTGGTGCTGAGCAGACACCTTGGCGGGCCAGGAAGGCAGGGGACGGGGACGGTGACACGGGCTGGCCTTCCTGAGAGGGCTGTGGGAAGGGGACCGTTTAAAACGGAAGCTGCCTGATCTAGTCCAGGGTCAACCCTGCGCCCAGAGGGACAGAGGAACCACCTCTGAGCTGCCAGGGTCGCCGCTGCACCTGCTCTCAGCGTGAGCCAGCATGGATGGCCCAGGGCTGGGTGTCTGGCCAGCCGTGGGAAGTAAGGATTCAATGAGAGACGCAGCCCCAGAGCTCTGCCAGCCTGCCCCTGTGGAAGGAGCCTGGACAGGAACCACCAGCACAGGGATGTCTGCGCACTTCCTGTGTGGTGCCAGTGTCCCCAGTGTCCCCAGGAGTTGAGTTCAGGACCGCCATCCACCCATGGAGAAGTGTGAGCAGCCACAGCACAGAGCCCCTCCGTAGATCAGCCAGTTCAGCGCACTGACTCAGGCAGAGAACAGCGTAGGCCCTGATCCCGCTAACCACCTATGCCCAGCCCAGATGACCCCTCCCGTCCCGTCCTGCCCTGTCTCTAGACAGGACACCCCATCCAGGACTCTCATAGAGACAATCTGAAGTCACCAGCCTGGGAATCAGGCCGTGGAGAACACACAGTTCCCCCAGCCACGGAGGACTGGGGACAACATGTGCCCCCCACCCCCCACCCCACCCCCACCTCGCCTCCCTGCCATCTGTGGGACGCAGCCCCTGCGTCAGGCTCTTCGCACTTCCTCCCCTCCCACAGCCTAAGGAACACATTTGGCTTTCCGCTCCATGAGTTACAGTCACAGGCTCATCCTCCCACCCACAGGGGCCTCTGAGTCTCTCCTTGACTCCAAAGGCCTGAGTCCCATTCTTCCTGACCTCCTCTCGGTCCACTCCCTTAGTAGATTGGCCACACGCTCGTGGCAATGTTGCCAGTTTAAGTTCAGAGCAATCTCGTCTACCTTCTTTGTTGAGGACAGGGACACCTCACTGTCCTCTCCAGGTACCACAATCATAATGACCTAAAAGCAGAAACATACTACTTTTCATATCTTCTACCCAAGAACATGAGGGTGAGCTTTAAAGATTTCCACCCAAAATAATGCTTTCAAATAACCCTCCACACTGAGCTGGGTGTTGTAGCACACACTGTAATCCCAGCTACTCAAGAGGCAGAGATGGGGAGGATCAGGGTCCTGCGCCAGCCTAGACAAAAGTTAGCTAGGTAGACCCTATCTCAAAAGCAGGTCAAGTATGGTGGTACATGCATATAATCTCTCCTAGGTAGGAGATGGAGAAAGGAGAATTGTGGTTCTAGGGCAACCCAGGGTCCCTATCTGAAAAAAATTAAAACAGAAAGGACTGGGGCATGGCTCAATTGTTAGAGCACTTGCTTAGAAGTCCTCAGTACTGCTGGCCACCAGTGGCTCACACCTGTAATCCTAGCTACTCAGGGAGCTGAGATCTGAGGATCATAGTTCAAAGCCAGCCAGGACAGAAACATCCGTGAGACTCTTATCTCCAGTTAGCCACCAGAAAACTGGAAGTGGCACTGTGGCTCAAATGGTAGAGCGCTAACCTTGAGCTGAAGAGCACAGGGACAGTGCCTAGGCCCAGAGTTCAAGCCCCACAACTGGCAAAAAGAAAAGAAAAGAAATCCTTGGTACTGCCAAATAACTTAAGTACGACTCAGCTTTCAGCAAATCTGCAGCTGGCAGAAGGTTCACCACTGGGGTCTCTTGTTTCTCTCCAGATCGTGCCAAGGTGGTACGGGGCCTGCCGGACGTGGCCACCATCATGGAAGACAAGGTACTGACCCTCCTGGCCCTCGGCCTGTAGATCCACACTTGTGTTCTCCCGGGGAATCCATCCCAGATCACCACCAAACAGTGTCACACAGTGGACTGAAGAGCCAGCGGTGGCTGAGGGGCCAGAGACTGAGCCTGCCACAGTCAGCCGAGTGACCACAGCTCACTGACAACGTAGAGTTGAATGTGAGCCACTGAGCCTGTGGTCAGCACCATGTGGTGCTCAAATGGCTCTGCCCCATCTCTCTGGAGAGCCCTGGGTGTCACCAACTGTCATCTGTGACCAATTTCTAACTGAATCCCTGAAAGCCCTTCCAGGGCCAAAATTATGTAGATCTAGTGTTTCCTCCCCCCCCCAAAAAAAAAAATCACAGCAACAAACTAGGCATGGTAGTGCATGCCTGTAATCCCAGCTGAGGCTGGAGGGTCTTGAGTTCCAGGATAGCTTGGGCTGTGTACAAAAACTCTACCAGCTACCCGTATGTATGGTGCTATTCCACAAACAGGCGTTAGCTAAGGATTGAGCCCCCCAGTAGTTAAAGGATTTATTCAAGGCTGAGACTCATGGCCAGGCAATCTAATTCCAGATCCTGTGCCCAGTGTTAGAACTCTCCAGAAGACTTTCAAATACAATTCATAAGTCTTCATGCTAAAGCCATATTCTCTCTCTCTCTCTTTTTTTTTTTTTGTCAGTCATGGGGCTTGAACTCTGGGCCTGGGCCCTGTCCCTGCTCTCTTCAGCTCAAGGCGAGCACTTTACCACTTGAGCCACAGCACCACTTCCAGTGTTCTAGGGGTTTATTGGAGATAAGAGTCTCACGGACTTTCCTTGCCGGGGCTGGCTTTGAACCGTGATCCTCAGATCTCAACCTCCTGAGTAGCTAAGATTGCAGGCGTGAGCCACGGGCGCCCGGCCTTAAAGCCATATGATCTTACTTGCTGGTAAAAATCACAATGCCATGTACCTTAAAAAGCAAGTAAGCAAAATACAGGCCATTTTGAGCCAGCTACTTCCCAGCAAAGAAGGGCCTAAAATTCTAACCAGTCTGTTTGGCTGTAGAAAGGCAGATGATGGAGAGGGCGAGGTGGCAATAAAATGCCTGTGCCTTTTATGGATTCAATAAAACACACACAATGAATTTGCCCCAGGGAGCTGCGTGTATTAAGAGCTCTCTAAGAGCATAATGGTGAATGTCAAGTTCAAGTTACAAAGCCGCAAGACTGTTCTCTTCCTGTCCATTTGCAACAGACCCTGTGCCTGACCTGCGTCATCTCAGGAGACCCCGCCCCGGAAATCTCTTGGCTAAAGAATGATCAGCCTGTCACCTTCCACGACCGTTACCGCATGGAGGTGAAGGGGACAGAGGTCACCATCACCATCGAGAGGGTCACCAGCGAGGACAGCGGGCGGTACGGCGTCTTCGTCAAGAACAAATATGGCTCTGAGACGGGCCAGGTCACCATCAGTGTGTTCAAACATGGAGACGAGCCCAAAGAGCTGAAGAAGAAGTGACGGGAGAGTCTAAGCACAGCCGCCTGAGATCCAGCGGGCATGAACCAGCAGAGCCAACCAAGAGGGTCACAGCCTGGCACAGGCCACAGGGGAGGGAGGGAAGGAGGAAAGGAAGGGGGGAGGGAGAGAGGGTGGGGTCCAGGGTGGAACCCAACACAGGAGGGTAGAGAGGAAAGGATACAGCAAAGGAGAGAAGCAAAGATCTCCCTGGGGTCCTGAGAGGCCCCAGGATGGCGGGCAAGCACCAGACTTGGAGCAGGAAAACTTGAAGACCTTGTGTTTCTCATCTCTCAAACGGGCATCTGTACTCATGCTACAGGTTCATTGATGAAAATCCCTTGTAAGCCATTAGCTGACATCCTCCACCACAGACCACTTTACTCTGCAGGGTGGGGGCACTTGGCCGCTCTTTTTCAGTCACCACAACTGTAGATGGGCTTGAGATCCCATATACTAAAGGCCACACACACACCCCAACTCCACCTAGAACTTCCCAAGCCCAGCTGTGAGCAGTGCCAAGATCGGTGGGCCCTGCCATCAACCAGCCATCACATTTCTCTACTTATTTCGATCCACCTAAGTTCAACCCTCACTGGGAGTTCAGCACATGCCAAGCTGAGAACAGGGCTGAGAACTGGCTCGCTAACTCCTGAGGCCCAATCACAGATGGGAGAATGCTTCCCCTCGCCCAGGCCCCACCCAGAAGGAAGTCTCAGTCCAATAGGGAGGGCAGCCTGAGCTGGTAACCACAGGACAGCGTATGGGAAATAATAATGAGAGGACAAGGATTAGGAAGTAGAGTGGTACCATGGTGCTGGGGGCTGGGGGTGAGCTTTTTATTTACAAAAAGGAAAACTCTCCAACAATAGGCAGAATTGATATTAGGCTCTGCAAAGTGAATCCAGATTTGCCTTGAGATGAGAGAGGGACAGGGGAGGAGAGGAGCATGCTGGGAGCAGAGGGGAGGAGCAGGTGCATGCTGGGAGCAGAGGGGAGGAGCAGGTGCGGCCCCCTGGGTGACCTTGCCAGGTATGGAGCCTGATGTGGCACAGGCACTGGTTGGCTTTGCTTGATGGATCTCAGCACACAGCTGGGCATTTCTTTGCCCTCGTTTCCTTCTTTAATAAATAACATGGGCAGGATAACATGGGAGTTATAAAAATTGCTGTGAAAGCTTAGGAAATCCTAAAGGAGAAAATAAACATCTGTGCTCCCAATCACCAGTAGGGACCGCCTGCCTCTGACTTCTGAAATGACTTCCAAATCAAAAGATAAAAACCACATCCCACTCACCAGCTACTTGCGCATTGGGCTTGGTGGCTTCCATTCCACCTCTGCTGAGGGGGAGGTGGGAAGGGGAGGGGGCAGGAGTCCTGGCATGAGTTCAGGGCACCATGAAGGTCTTAAAGGCAAAGACTCCTGGGTTTCAAACACCCTCCTGCCACCCAATGGCCAGGGAGTTTACAAAATGCTTTCCCTTTTCCTGAGCTACAGTTCCCCATCTATAAAACAAGCATGTGAGATGATGATAAGCTCTCTCAACTGACAGCTACCATTTTTATTACTTCCCACAACTCTATATGCTTTTCCCTTCCCATGAAGATGTGGTGTACAAAAAGACTCCATCCACCGGAAACCAGTGGCTCATGCTGATGATCCTCGTTCCTCAGGAAGCTGAGATCTGAGGACTGCAGTTCAAAGCCAGCCCAGGCGGGAATGTCCATGAGACTCTAACCAACCACCTAAAAGCCAGATATGGAGGTATGGCTCAAGTGGTAGCGCACAGCCTTGAACAAAAAAGCACCCAGAGACAGCACCCAGGCCCTGAGTTCAAGCCCCAGGACACACACACACACACACACACACACGAAAAAGACTCCATCCGAATACACCCTCCCACTTGCAGACAGACATACAGTATCTGAGACAACTGGTGGCTCTTTTCCCAATGTCAATGAAAAAGGTCCCACGTCTTCTCTGTCTGGGATGGAACATGGTGAGAGCGCCCCCTGTTGGCACAGCTTGTGTTTGTACTCAGCCCAGCAGGGGTTTGGGGATGCTTCTGGATGAGGTGGCAGTTTAAGAGCAAGGACTGGTCCCTGCTTGGCTGTATTAAGCCTGTAACATATTAATCATAGGGTTTTCTTTTTTGTTCTTTTTTTTTATTTGCTTTGTTGTGTTTTTGATTCCTGGTCTGATCATTCCAATATCTCTGGCAAACCTGTGTGTGGTTCTGAGGCCCACTCTGTCTCTTCTATGTGTTTTGCCTCTAAATCTGCTTGATAATTGATTGGTGAAAGGCAGACATAGTATGCCAGGTCAAAAGAGATGTGACAAATAACAGATTGGCTCTTAATGAAGTCATGGTAAGATGTGGGGGAGGGGAAGCGTTCTCCCATCTGTGATTGGGCCTCAGGAGTTAGTGAGTCAGCAGTCTAGACTGAGAGCTCCTGCCTCTGGGTATGGGGGAGACAGACAACTAGAGAAGCTAGAGCTAGGTAATTTCCCTTTCCTCAGGAGATTAGGCTCTAGTTTAAAAAAGAGTGGTTTTTGTTTGTCTTCTTGTTGGTGGTACAGCTTGAACTCAGGGACTGGACACTGTCCCTGAGCTCTTTTCAAGTCTAATGCTCTACCACTTTAAGCCACAGTACCACTTCGGGATTTTGAGTAATTAATTGGAGATAAGAGTCTCACGGGGACTTTTTTGCCTGGGCTGGCTTGGACTCAAGATCCTCAGATCTCAGCCTCTTGAGTAGCTAAGATTGTAGGTATAAACCACCGAGTTTCTTTCTAATTCCAAGCTCTAGTAAGAAGACTAGAATGCTCTAGCTTGTTTCAAAATGGTTATTTTATTAATTAATTTGTTTGTTGCTGGATGAAAGTGGCTCATACCTGTAATCCTATATATATATGTATGTGTGTATACATATATATATACTTATCGCACATATATATGTATGTATATAATATATATATATCATGTTATATATATATAATGTTATATATATATATATATATATATATATCATGTTTATATATATATATCCCTTTCCCTACTGGAAGTCAGAAGGGATTTTTCTGTGCTCTTCAATGTGAGAACTTAGGCCAGTTCCTGGAGGTAAAGCTCAAACACTTCAAAAATTGCAAACAACTTTAAGCAATAGTGGGGGGCCCTGGTAGGGTCTTCACCTCCATCTCTCCTGCATTTCTTGAGCCCAGCCAGGGTAGGCAGCGGTGGTGCAGCCAGCCCCCCACACACCCCATTCCCCCTTCATTTTAACCAGGAAGCCCAGCCTTCATTTACCTCTCCCAACCTGTCCCAGAAGCCTCCTCCCTTGACCTCTGGGGGCCCACTATCCCCAGCAGCCTGTTTATGATCCCCTTTTGCCCCTTCTATTATTCTTCGTCTGGCTCTTCCTGGAAAGCAGCTCCGTTGGTCCACCCTGATCCCTAGTATCCTGTAAGGGACCCAGAACATCAGAAACTTTGCCTCTTCATTGGCAAAACTCAAAAGCTACACACGATCCCAGTATTCTCCAGGAACTCAATGGATCTCCCACAAGGCTGTTCTTCCAGAGACAGGCTGGCTGTGCAGGTTGGCAGAAGACCAGCCAGCTTGTAAGAACACCCCCCTCCATCGCCTGCCCCACACTAGCTATGCCACCTTCACAGCCCAACCCAGTACGATCCTAGCCCTAAACATTCAAAGCATGAGACACGAAGAGCCTAAGCAGCCAGAGCCCCCACCAGGAAACAACTGGCCTGTGTAATAATTAATGATTACTAGGCCTCAAGCCACCACTCCAAGCAGATGCTTTCAATACTTCAGAACTTCCAAATAGCTTTAAGCAACTTGAATGGCATCTTCACACCAAAAATAGTCTCAGAAGCAACACTCTCCAGATGTCTCTAGTTCAAGGAAGCCAGGTCTTTTCATGTTCAGGATTTGAGAAACATCCAGCTATAGAGGGTGAGGGAAATACCTGGGTTAAAAGGAAAGACAAATTTTACAACCAAAGAGAAATGGGCTCTTGCTTGGCCTGGGGCCTCCCAGAAACCCATGCTCTCTTTTCCATACCAGCAAATCTAAAGAAAGAGAAATGCATGCCACATGAAGGCCTTTTTGTTCCACTTACAGAAATTTTCCTGATAAAACCAGGTGCTGGTGGCTCATGCCTATAATCCTAGCTACTCAGGAAACTAAAATGTGAGAATCAGGGTTTGAAGCCAGCACTGGGCAAATGGAAAAAAAAATAATATTCAAAGGCAACTATCAATTTTAAGGACTCAGGCTCGATGAAGTGCTCATTTAGACCTGGTGCCAAAAAGCCACCCTAGACCATGAGGAATATTCCATTTAATCCTTTCCACAGCTCTTGAGGGGGAGATTACTATTCTAATGCTCTAATACTCATTCATTTCTTTCAAAAAATCATGCACGGAGGTCCTCCTATGAGTCAGGGCCTGTGGTGGCCAGTGGAGTCTTTTCTTGGCAGGAAGGATTGAATAAGCAAATGACCAGATAAGCACAGCCCTGTCCATGCTGAGTTTGGGCAGCATCTGTGTTGGGGGCCTGGTTGCCAGCTGATGGGATTTGGGTGCTTGGATTCTAAAGTGTCTGAACTAATCAATAAATTAATCCCTTGATAGATCCCTAACGTGATGTTATTACTGGGAGATGGTGAAAAGTAGGGTGTGTGGCCTGATAGAAGTAGGTCACAAGTGGTGAACCCTGGAAAGATATATTTTGTACCCTGCCCCTCTCTCTCCTCTTTACCTTTCTGTCCTGTCCCTCTCCTCTTCCTCTTCTTCCTCCTCTTCCCCCCCCCCTCTTCTTCCCCTCTCTCTCTCTCCTTCTCATCTCACAATTGCTCTCTGCTTCCTGGCTGCCAGGAGGTGAGCCACCTGTGCCACATTGCCCTTGCCATGTCCTTGCTGCTCTTACTTCATGCCCCAAGTAAGTCTTTCTTGCCTTCAATTGCTTTTCCCAGCACTGAGAA